GTGATTTTTTTAAGTGATTGTGACTTGTTTTAATAATACAACAATTTTTGACAATGGTGTCAGGGCTAAGTAAAACAAAAAGATTATTAGAATGTGAATTATGTATGTGCTTTGATATGCAGAAGGAAAAATTTATCAAGTGATCCTCTGTGACCCTCAATAATTTTCAGGCAGCCATGAGAGGCAGGGAAAGTTTGGAACCTGTTAAAGTAGTAAAAATGCTCCTTTTGCTTGAAGCTGGCACACTGGCTGGTTTCCTTTTCTTGGAAATCAATGGCAATTTTAAAACAACTCAGCTAATTAATTCCAAACCTGGATTGCTTTATCTGAGTCTCTTCCTCACCATTTAGTTCCCAGTTGTAGAAGCCAGGAAAAAGGGCAGGTTGATGCTCTTTGAACTTTTGTTGTTGTTCAGTCATTTAGTCGTGTCCGACTCTTCTTAGCCCCATGGGCCAGAGCATGCCAGGCCCTCCTTTCTTCCACTGCCTCCTGGGGTTGGGTCAAATTCATGTTGGTGGCTTCGATGACACTGTCCAACCATCTTGTCCTCTATTGTCCCCTTCTCCTCTTGCCTTCACACTTTCCCAACATCAGGGTCTTTTCCAGGCAGTCTTCTCTTCTCATGAGAAGGCCAAAGTAACGGAGCCTCAGCTTCAGGATCTGTCCTTCCAGTGAGCACTCAGTGTTGATTTCCTTTAGAATTGATAGGTTTGTTCTCTTTACAGTCCAGGGGACTCTCAAGAGCCTCCTCCAGCACCACAATTCAAAAGCATCCATTCTTCGGCGGTCAGCCTTCTTTATTGTCCAGCTCTCGCTTCCATACATTGCTAAAGAAAAACCATAGCTTTGACTATTTTGACTTTTGTTGGCAAGGTGATGTCTCTGTTTTTAAGATGCTGTTTAGGTTTCTCATTGCTTTCCTCCCAAGAAGCAGGCGTATTTTAATTTCATGGCTGCTGTTACCATCTGCAGTGATCATGGAGCCCAAGAACGTAAAATCTGTCACTGCCTCCATATCTTCCCCTTCGATTTCCCAGGAGGTGATGGGACCAGTGGCCATGATCTTAGTTTTTTTGATGTCGAGCTTCAGACCGTTTTTTGCACTTTCTTCTTTCACCCTCATTACAAGGCTCCTTAATTCCTCCTCACTTTCTGCCATCAGAGTGGTATCATCTGCATATTGGAGGTTGTTGATATTGCTTCCGGCAATCTTAATTCTGATTTGGGATTCCTCCAGTCCGGCCTTTCGCATGATGCATTCTACTTATAAGTTAAATAAGCCAGGGGAAAATATATGGCCTTGTTGTACTCCTTTCCCAATTCTGAACCAATCAGTTGTTCCATATCCAGTTCTAACTGTGGGTTTCTGTCCCATGTATAGGTTTCTCAGAAGATAGATAAGGTGATCAGGCACTCCCATTTCTTTAAGGACTTGCCATAGTTTGCTGTGGTCCACGCAATCAAAGGCTTTTGCGTCGTCAATGAAGCAGAAGTAGATGTTTTTCTTGAACTCTCTGGCTTTCTCCATAATCTAGCGCATGTTTGCAATTTGGTCTCTAGTTCCTCTGCCCCTTCAAAATCCAGCTTGTACTTCTGGGAGTTCTCAGTCCACATACTGCTGAAGGCTACTTTTCTAGCATGTGAAATAAGTGTAATTGTAGGGTAGCTGGAGCATTCTTTAGCACTGCCCTTCTTTGGATTGGGATGTAGACTGATCTTTTCCAGTCCTCTGGCCACTGTTGAGTTTTCCAAACTTGCTGGCATATTGAATGTAGCACTTTAACAGTGTCATGTTTTAAGATTTTAAATAGTTCCATTGGAATGCCATCACCTCCACTGGCCTTGTTAGCGAAGCTTTCTAAGGCCCACTTGACTTCACCCTCCAGGATTTCTTGCTCAAGGTCAGCAACCACACTACAGTATCTGGTTTTTCAGGGACATCCAAATCTTTCTGGTATAATTCCTCTGTGTATTCTTGCCACCTCTTCTTGATGTCTTCTGCTTCTGTTAGGTTCCTGCCATTTTTGTCCTTTATCACGTTCATCTTTGCACAAAGATAGTCCTAGTCCACAAATAGTCACAAAGATAGTCCTAGTCCACAAAGATAGTCCTAGTTCACAAATAGTCCTAGAACGAGCTGGAATTTTCAGCATGTTTACATTACTGAAACAGCGACGTCTATGCTGGCTTGGACACGTCGTGGGAATGGCTGATGGTCGGATTCCAAAGGATCTCCTGTATGGAGAATTAGTGCAGGGAAATCGCCGCAGAGGGAGACCATGGCTGTGATACAAGGCTATCTGCAAGCGAGATCTGAAGGCCTTAGGAATAGATCTCAA